AGGAATTTTCCCCACACAAGGTTAGACAAGGCACTTACCTCAAATCAAGCTCAACCACTCAATAAGAACTCCTTTTCCTCGACTTTCCGACTCCGAATGGCCCAAATCTATCCAAAAGCAATTACATACTATAAATATAACTATAAGAAACTAATCTAAATAAAGAAATCACGACTTTACCAAGAAATTAGGAAATCACCCAAAAAAGTCAATTCGGGCCCACGTCTCGAAATCGGGTAAATGTCAAAAAATACGAACACCCATACAACCATGAGTCCACCCATACCAAAATTACACAAATCTGATACCAAAACCTCGATCAAAACCTCAAAATTTGGCCTAAGGTTCTTCCACCTTCCCCCCCCCCCCCAATTTCTCAACCCAACTCCTTAACTAAACGAAGAAATTAATGATAGATTAGTGGAGGATAATAAAAAACGAGCGTAGAGTCCTTTCCCAATTGTTTCCTCTGAAAATCTCTTAAAATTTCGCCTTAATCCGAGCTCTCTAGGTTCAAAAATAGGGAATGAAATTAATCCCTCGAAATTGGCCCTTTTCTACCCAGCGAAGTCGCACCTGCGAACCCAAAGTCGCATCTTCGGCTCTGCACCTGTGGTATTTCCATTGCAGATGCGGTTCTCACTTAGTCTAGACACGTCCGCTTCTATGGACCCAAATGCTCACGCGCGACCAAGGAGCGTTTCTACGCACGTGCTCCTGCGCACGTACTCCTCCGGACCATGTCCGTTTCTGTGATCAACATGCCTCCCTAGCATTTCCGCTTCTGCGAGCTTGCACCTGAGGTCAATCTTGTGCAAGTGCGATTGCACCAGAACTGGTGCACTTCAGCCATTCTCACAAGTCCAAAATTGCTCCGAGTTCAATCCGAATCACACCCGGGGCCTCCAGGACCCCGCCCGAATATACCAAGAAGTCCTAAAATATCATACGGACTTAGTCGAGCCTTCAAATTACCTCAAACAACGGTAAAATCACGAATTTACATATTGATACAAGCCTAATGAACTTTAAAACTTCTAACTTCTACATCCGACGCTGAAACCTATGAAATCAAGTCCGGTTGACCTTAAATTTTGCAAAAAAGTCAAATTTAACATTGCTAACCTAATCCAACTTCCGGAATCAAAATTCGACCCCAATATCAAAAAGTCCTCCCTCGGTCAAACTTTCCAAAATTCATCCAACTTTCCGACTTTCGCCAATTAACGCGAAAATGACCTATTGACCTCCAAATCAACATCCGGACACGTTACTAAGACCAAAACCACCCTACGGAGTTATTGAAACTATCAAAACTCTATTCCGGAGTCATCTTCATACAATTCAAATTACAGTCAATTCTTACGACTTAAACCTCCCTATTAGGGACTATGTGTCCCATATGACTCCGAAACCAAAAATAAAACCTCCCAACGAGCCACATAACAAAATAATGAGATAGAGGAAGCACTAAATAGGGGTTCGAGGCTAATACTCTTAAAATAACCAGCCGGGTCGTTAAAGGATTGATATTTAAAAGTGTCAACCGTTGTGAGAGTTAGCCGCATTGGCGGAGGTAATGGATCCTCAAGAGGAGTGACCTTTTCAATTGGATAAACAATGGTGCTTATATAAATTGTCCAAGTGAATTTGTTAAGTGGATTTACATATAAATAAGATGACTCCTTCACCTGTGCAACTGACACCAAGTAAGTGCGGAAAGGATCAAATAGATCTTCAAAATGCATTATTTCAGCATTGAACACGATGGCCTGAACTTGATTTTCCTATAAGAAAATAAGATGCAATTAGATTAAAATCATATTAAAATAAATTGGAGAAAAGTTACCAACAAAATATACCAAATTTTAATATGAGCAAACTATAATATATGAGAAAATAAATGGATTAATTCAGTTATTGTTGGCAAATTTATAAATTTAAAAAACAATACCTCTTTATCCTGTAGAGTCATGAGTTGATATTTTTTTTGTTTTCTCTTTGTCCTCTTTGGAATGACCTTTATCAACTACTTCGATCGTATAGTTCCATTCTTCTGTTTTGGGACTGATCATGTTGATAGTTAACCTCAGTAGCTTTTTGGTCGCTTTTGAACCTTCTCTGTCCAGCCCGTTCGGCTGCTACGGCCATCCCTTCGGAGACATTTGGTAAGGTCATCCTCACCCTGTTGAATCGAGCTAAAAAGTCCCCCAGTCCTTCCCCTGGGGATTGTCTGATGGCGAAGATATTTTTACCCTTGTTTCAGCTTTCTTGGCCCCGGCATGTGCCATTTCGAACTTGTGTGACATCTCTTTGAATGTTTCTATGGAATAGGCCGACAATTGTGAATACCAAGTCAGCACCCCTCACCTCCTTTGAGGGTTTCACCAAACTTTTTCAATAACATGGAGGATATCTGTTCTTTGGTGAGGTCGTTGCCTTTCACTACGGTGACGTAATGGGTTACATGGTTCTCGAAATTAGTTGCCTTGTCATAGATTCTAAGGTACGAGGGCATTTTGAAAGTTTTTAGTATGGCATGAGGATATGCTTCTTCCCTGTACGGTTGTTTCACGAACCTGCCGGTGTCTCTTTTTGGTAATAATTTGGAGGCACTCGGTATCTTGTCTACCCATTCTTGGTGCTACTTCATCTGTTCCTTGAGTGCCTTGTTCTAGTTCTCATTTCTTCCATTCTTTTTAACACGACGGTGAGGATGTTGTCACTTGTACTGTTAGCAATTGTATGGATGTTACCTGAAGTAGGAGGGTTCAGCTGGTCGTCTCGTCCATTCTTACGTTGTGTTGTAGGGATCCTTAGGGTTTCCTCGGTCGTACATGAGGCTTGCTTACTCATCACGATGACCAAAGTGTCCGTTAGCCAAGCCTCTTAGAGCTTTTTCATAGCGGGTGGTGCTCCTTCTTCCACGAAAGTGGAAGCCTCTTTTTCGTTTGGTTTGGTTATGCTACAGAAGGGTGTTGGCCACTTCCCTAATCTGGGGGATGTCGTGGGGGTTACTTCTTCATCTTGAGTTTTGTACCCTTCATCGATGGCACTCATTAGGTTGAGCGGGACATTGTCCGCTGGTCTTGTTCCTTTTTCTTTATTACTTGCCATGGAATCCTTGTATACAAAGAGAAAAAGGGTAGCTTTACAATACGTTAGGGTGACAGGTTATGAGATATTGTAGATCTGAATGAAAATTGATAGTTCGACTATAAAATCCCCACAGACGGCGCCAAACTGTATGACCTAAAAATTTGACCTAGGTTTTTATACAACCAGATTTATAGAAACATAGGGTTAATCAATGTTAAAATCAATATTCTATAGCAGATCTAGCACTTTTAGGGAGAATATTTAATGTGTAGAATCGGACAATATTATCTTTGAACAATGATGGAGCAATAAAAACTTACAAATATAAAATACAACAATAAATGATAAGTAAATGGCATTTAAGTAATAAATGAGACAAAGTTCACCCGATAAGGGTGAGATTTTCCAATATGCTTTCTACCAATGATGGATGGTGGTAAACAATTGAATATTTCGATTTTTCTTGGATCGAGAGAGAAGGATGAAAGGAAAAAAGTGTAAAGTGAGGCTTTATTCCTATTCAATAAAGAGAGAATCTTGCACAGAGAATGTCAATGATATTCTTTACAAAAAATTTCGATCCCTTTTTTCAACTACCTCTTTTCCTATTTATAATACATGGGCCATAAAACTCTAGATAGTACAACAGAAAGGAATGATCCATCGAAATATTCTCTAAGGAATCTAAAACCTGAAACTAGTCATCGCTTCATATGAAGGCTGGTGCTCGTCCTCGTACTCGTCTTCAGTTAGACCATCTCGACCTCGACAATGATTTATCTTCTGCACCTGACCTCGACCTTTTGGGGTCAAGTTGACACGTCACAGCCTTCAAAGACCTTATCGCCGTTGACCAGGTCAAACTCCTAAAAATAAAGTTTTCGCCTATACAGAACAAACCTTAAAATAATAAAAAGGTTTCAGATTAATCATAGAATATGCTTCCACAACCGAAGCCCATAAAGCTAAGAAAACAAAAAATACTAATCATCATCGACTTTATTTTCTACATTACCTGATTAGACTTATTTTAAATTTTACTTATTGGTATAGATCATCTTAACCTGATGATGTAAAAAGTTAATTTGAACTCCTCAAAGATAATAATTCTTAATCTTTGGAATTAGTAAACTGATGAATGAGGTTCTATAGTAGGTTGAAATTGTCTGTTTATTTAGCACGGAGTTTTATTAGTGTCAAACCATTTCACATAGTTCTACTTCAAACACAGTTATGAACCTGGTCCAAGGAGTCCCAAAGTACATTAAATCTTCGAAGGAGTTACAGCCAACTCCTTGTCCCCTATCTCTTTCCCTATTGAAAAACCAGTGCTAGTTATTTTATTCTATAAATGCTAACCAAGTGATACACCGAGACCATGGGTCATGTGCAAGACTTCTATCCTTAACTATGTACCGGCTAACGACCTCATTGTGTTAGTCCATATATTGTTTTCCTTCTTTGGGCCCAGGTCGATAGTAGCCATGGTAGCAAACCCATGTTTAGAAGAAGTAAAAGTTGTTGAAGAACAAACTCTAATTTGCCATGTTCTAATCTGCTACATTGTCGGCTTTCACTGTTTTGGATACTTGTAATGACCAATATTATTACATTCATCGGCGATTGAAGTATGTAACTAAAGTACGTAACTAACAAGCGTAAATGTTTGAACGAGTAAAGGATTTGAAGGAAAAAATAATTGAATAAGCAAAGGAAACCTTACAGGTTCTGGTTTGCCTATTCAAACACAACTGATAACACACCTGGGAAGTCCAATTACTAAAAAATATGAATGTGAAGTTGCTATATGATTTCAGAAAACCTAGTTATAACATCAATAACCATTAACGGATATACTTTCGTTTCTAATCGTCATGAAACGTTAGGGAATATTAAAGAAATAGTACTAAATAAAGGAAGTTTTATTCATGTAAAGAGTTACAAAAGGAACTTCCCATGAGTCTGCAACACAGACAAACAGACAACACAAATATCACAAAATAACAAACATAAACAGATAACACAAACACCATAAAATAACATAACATGTGAATAACCAAATGGTAGCATCTCAGGCAAAGCAAACTAGCATAAGACAGCAAAACGGATAGTTGACACTTGGGATATCATTCCTCCTCGGACTCGGATTCAGCACTCTGTAGCCATTCAACAAAGGGTTTGACATTCTTCCAAATTTTGGAGTCATTGTTCCCAGTAGCACCCTTGCCGTACCACTGTACTATATATTCCTCCTCCAACACATCAGCATCATATAAAGCTTTCAAAACCAGAGCCACTTCCTTCAGTGCAACTGGGTATTTCCCACAAAATTCTTCTATAGCACGAAGCAATCGTAGCTGTGACTCCTCATCTTGAGAAACAGCAGCAAGGTAACTTTTCTTCTTAAGAACCTCCTTGGCAAATCCTTTCTCAATGCCATCCAACAGTGCCTCATACAGAGCAGTGATAACTTCCTGAGGAGACCCAGAGAATGAACCCAAACAGGATTGCAATTGGCTGGCAGCAACTCCCTTTCTTATATTTGTTTTCACCTCCTCAACGAGCCTCTCATGGTTTGTCTCTCCATTCTCGGTCGTATGATTCTTAGATGGCACAGCAGCAGCTGCTTTAGGACTTTGGGCTTGAGTAGCTGCCTTGGACTTCTTCTCTGACTCAATTGTTGAAAGCATAACCATTTCAGCAGTTGCAGCATTTAACTGTTCTTGTATACGCTGCTGAGCAGCTTCTAGTGATGTATCAGTCTGCCACTGGACATCATCATCATCATCTTCTTCATCCTCCTCTTCTTTCACATTAACATGGTTTCTAGGTGGTGAAGCACGATCCTCATCAGAGCCACCATGTTTCTTTTTAGAGCTGGGTTTTGCACTAGCATCTTTGGAGGAAACCTTTTTCTTCGTCTTCAGCTTCTTCTGCTCTTCATCAGCAGCCTCACCTTCCTTCATTCGCTCCTTCTCAGCTCTTCTCATTGCCTTCTTGTCCTTGGAGCCCTTCTTAGGCTCAGGCGGGTTCTTCAGTATAAAAGTTGTCAGCTTGTCCCTCATGTCCACATCAGAAAGGAAACCACATGCAGCGCATTTCAGTTGGATCATCTGAGTCTTAGTTATTATGACCTCTGTTTCAGGGTTTCCACAACCGTAGCACTGCACATATTTCTTAATAAAGTTCTCAAGAAGACCAGCAAGTTTAGGAGTTTCATGAGCTCCATTGACAAGTGCAGTTCCAGTTTTTTCATCAAATTTTGACTGAGCCCCAAGCTCATTTCCAAAATATTTTGTGGTATAGGATGGGGGCCTTGCTAAAGCTTTGGCAATGTCAACCATGTTCACCACATTTGTCTTGATTCCATTCCCACGCCCCTCTATCTTGGTAATCATCCTGGGCATCTTATACCTGTAGAAGGCATCATCACTGTTGCTGGCACCAATATTTTGCAAAGCCATCTTTGATTCAGTGAGATATTCCCAGATGAAGTGTTAGGAATCTTCAGTGAATTCTTCAGCAGAACAATTGTACAGTGTGTCGGGAGAAGGTTGTGCCTTACAGCAACCACAGAAGTCAATGTGTTCTTCCTGTAATGATCCGAGATGCATAAAGTCAACCCAACCTGAGAAATGACGGTTCTTTTTTCTTGAAGTAGGACAATACTCTCCAAGCAATCCAATGGATCCCAAATAGAAGATGGCTTGTTCGGACATAAAAGAAGTTTCACTTAGACCACTACAACTTTGGAACTCCACAAAAGTCACACTACCTGCAACCTTCAAAAAGAAGAACCACGAGTCAAATACGGGCAGAGAAGCCAAAAGTACTACACTACATTATACTAATAAATGAGAGGTAAAAGACAATAATATTGACAGACAGCAGACTGTTCCACCTTTAAGATTCAAAGTTGAGTTCCTTTATGTCATAGCTGTTTGAACAACTACATATTCTATAAAAAATGGCAACAAATGGCAAAACCCATAAAGATGAATAAATAGATCAACAAAGGTACACCGTGATAAATTAATCCGCCAAAGACCATCAACATGCCCTTAGATCATTTATCAGTCTGTATATAAGCTTCTAAGTTGCATACTCCAGAAACACTCGAAGAGAAATCCAAGACTGCAAACTTTCAAAAATTATTTGTCCCCAATGCCCGAATTCTTTACGCTTCCTTAANGGGGGATTCCACGTGGAATGCTCCATTCCATGACCATCTATATGAATAAATTAGGCACTATGCCATCAATAACGGAGCTAGGAATTTATACTTAAAAAAACAATAGAATATCTCTACAGGTTTGGGACTTTTGACTTACAGCAATTGAGCTTGTAACTTAAAACAATTTCTGAACCCACTTTGCCACTTTCCTTATGTAAGGGAGATTCAACAGTTAAAGTTTTAAGTAATAACCACAAAAATTTGTTTCTCTCTACTTACAGTATAATTTTTCAACAACTTCCGCCACCTACCTCCGCCACCGCATGCCATAGAGCCATCCAGTGCTTAGGTAAGATATCCAAAACATCCCTTCCTCAATAATCATAATCTAGCTCAGCTTAAGAAAAGAAACAGCACAAATATAGGCAACAACTATCAAATAAGCTTTTAGAAACAATTTAACTTTAAACTTTGATTTAACCCTTATTGAGAAGATTTATAGTGTATGGCTTGTTTAAGACCACAAGTTTCAGTCATCTAAATTCTACTATCGTTTTGTATAGGGAGTACAAAACCAATCATCAATACCGAACTATTCTGAATCCGAAATATGAACTACCATCCATATCCATTCCACTCTATTTCACCTCAATTCACTTCGATTCTCAAAAAGACTGTCTTTAATTCCAAATCAGGCTTCCTTTAAAGCTAGAGATTTTCTAAAATAAAAACCTAATAATCTCACTGATCAGTTACTAAATCCTCGATCAATCAACTAAAATTCAATCAATCAACTAAGTAAAATAAATCGGAAAGGAGACGACTAAAATAAAATAGATCAGAACGAAGATGAACTTATATATAACATAAATAAATACGCAACAAACGTCGATTCAACAACTCCAAAATTACGTTAATCAAATTGATGAAAAAAGCTAAGAATAAGATTTAAAAAAAGAGCTACAATGCAGCTTTCATGATGAAAATAGGTAAACGACATACAAAAATAAGAAGAAAAAGTAATCAAATACCTTATAGATTGGAACGAGGCGGAAGAATCTGCAATACAATGAAAAGAGGAGCGAAATTGGTACACGTAAATTAGGGTTTAATATAGAGGAAAGGGGGAAGTGATGAGGAGGAGAGGCGGCCCTAGAAGATTGTTTATATAGGGTTGGGAAGGGTATTATACCAGATACTTCTCTGCCTCTCTACGCCTTAAAAATTTTATTTTCGGATTTCGACTAACCTAATTAATCTTGGCCGTTAATTACACCGACATGTAATTTTTATGCAAAGACAGATTGGTTAGTTACGGAAGTAGAGTATGATTTGGTTGCCAAACAAGTGGGGGTTTTGCATTTATATCCGGTTTTGAGTCACACAATTGAACCTATATTTACTTTGCAAAAAAATTGCAAGTTTATCCACTTTATGATTAACTTTAGACTTATCGGGTCTAAAGTTAAAAAAATTAGTCTGAAGTAAAAAAATTACATTTCAGATGCATTTAAGGTCAAATAGGTCTGAAGTACAACCAATGGTTTCATGCACTTAAGGCTAATAAGTCTGAAGTGAAAAATTGCACTTCAGATGTACTTAAGGCCAAAAGGTCTGAAGTGCAACAAATATTTTTCTACACTTAAGACGAATAAGTCTGAAGTGAAAAATTGCACTTCAGATGTACTTAAGGCCAAAAGGTCTGAAGTGCAACAAATATTTTTCTACACTTAAGACGAATAAGTCTGAAGTGAAAAATTGCACTTCAGATACACTTAAGGCAAAATAGGTCTCAAGTGTAACCAATGGTTTCGTGCACTTAAGGTCAATAAGTCTGAAATGAAAAATTACACTTTAAATGCACTTAAGGTCAAAAGGTCTAAAGTGCAACAAACGTTTTCCTACACCTAGTGCCAATAAGTTTGAAGTGAAAAATTGCACTTCAGATGCACTAATGCCAAAAGGTCTGAAGTGCAACCAACGTTTTCATGCACTTAAGTGCAAATTCTCCAGAAACAGAAATTTGTTCTTCGAATTTTATCGATCCAATATACGATTTAACATCTAAATCTACCCCAAATGAGCTTAAATTTGAAACATAACCTCCAAATATCATCAAGAACAAACACCAATTATCAGGTTGTCGAAACAACAATAAATCTAACGAACATATTTTGCAATTAAGAAAAAGAAGAAGAAGAAACTCTAAGCAATAGTAAAAAAAGCGCCACAGCAGCTCACCACTGTAAAACATCATAAACTACCTTAAAATATGTTCACAAACACCATATAAAATCACTATAAGAAGAAGAAGAGGAGGAGGAGCAGGAGGAGGAGAAGGAGGAGAGGAAAAAAGACCTAAAGTTGTTTAAAAGTGGGTATAAAAAGTAAGTACAAGTTAAATGAGGGCGACCAAATAGGGCGCCCGAGCAATCTTTTCAAAACAAGTTATGTAAGATTGTTATGAAAATAAATAATTATACCAAAATTGTTATGAGATGAGAGATGATAATATGATTGTTATGTATAGATTATCTATTCAAAGGATATTTTTATCTTTAGATTTTCATTATTCTTCTACTATTAATAAATATATTCTTATTCATTTTATCGCAAATAAAATAACTCATGTTGGTATTATTATTAGTTATTTAAAAATTAATGCGGACAACCAAACCTTATACTTAGTAATTAGAAGTTAGAACTATGATAACAGTCGATTAAATGTTGAATCAACAACAACAATAATATATTCAGTGTAATTTTACAAATGGAGTCTGGAAAGGATGGTGTGTGTGTACGCTTTACCCTAAAGATAGAGAGCAAATGTTGCATTAGCTATTTAGAAATTATTTTCTCTTATATGACCAGCCAAATATTACTCCCTCCATCCCCATTATATTATTCTTTATTTTTTGAGATTCAAACTATCTAAACATTGATCTATATTTTAAAATTTTTCTTTTACCATATTGACATGAGAAAAGTTACGGTACTTTTCAAATTTCATGTGGTTTTTAAATATCTCAAAAAATTTAATTATAATATTAAATTGATCAAATCAAATGTAGCTTCGAAGACTCTCAAAAAGTAAAGAATGACGTACTTAGTGGGAAGGGAATATTACTTGTGCAAAAATTTTATGTGCGTCCCATTGGCGTCTAGACCGTGAGATAATAAGGATTCAAACTTGATATTTCACCGTTAACTGCTACCTTGCATCTGCCTTATAACTTTGCCCATTACAGCTTATAAACGAAAATACGAAAAAAAATTCACCTAATCTCTTTTGTAAATGCTAGGAACTAGAGATTCAGATATTTTCAATAAGCCAAAACTGTAGTTAATTTTTTTTTTCTTTTTATTTATTCTGTTATTTGGGTGAAGCTGTATTCTCTGTAGCTGTCGCTTGTGCAAGTTTTTGTTCGTTATAGCAATTGCTTGTGCAAGAACGTAATCTTTTTTCTTTCTTTTTCTTAACGTAATCTTTTTCAGTTTACTGTTAATTAGCAATCGCTTGTGCAAGAACGTAATCCCTTTTCTTTCTTTTTCTTAACATTTTACAGTGTTTCACACGTTACCTTTACAGTGTTTCACACGTTACCTACAGTAGCTACACGTGAGCCTACTGATCCTCCAAATGTGAACGTGGGATATGTCCGAACATGATCAAGGTAATGGAATGGAGGGGGTTCTAGAGAGGCATCTTGGTCTCCAACTGTTCCTGGTTCTTGACATGCAGCATTTCTTCTTTGATTGAGAGTTTCCACTTCTTCTACCAATTCATCTTTCGTACTATTACATGATGTAATGACCTACAACAGTGATCGTTCAGCGGAATGGCAGATAACTGTTACGTTGTGAACATGAAACAAATAAATAGTTTACACAATTTAATAGAGACGTCCTAGCGATAAACAAACAATTAACACCATGAAATGTTGAGACTACTCTATTATCCTGCCAGGAATGTTTGTGAATGGAATATAACTCAGTTGCAACATGGTGTTAGCAGAAATGTCTCTGCATCCTTTTTCCAGTAGAAGGGGTATGAGTTAGGTTCTGATTAGGGATGACAATTTGAGCTCAAACTCATTTAACCCGCACAACCCGCCCAGAGATTAATGGTTAGACTGCAAACATTTTAGCTCATGGGTCTATTCGGGCTGAGCCCAAGTTAGCCCATCATTTTTTATATCTCATTCTGACCCATGAAGTAGCCCAAATACAACCCAAGAAACTCACCCAAAACAAAAGGGATCTCAACCCAACTAAAGGCTTTTCTAGAAATTTACTTAGTTGCCCCATCATTAGTCATGTATCTAACTTTAAAAATGAGAATCAAGGTTTTTAAATTTTGATGTAAAAATGAATAATTATGTAACTGTGGTGAAATTTACTTATTTAGAAATAACATAAAAGATATTTTTCAACTTACAAATTTTAAATACTAATTTGTTATTTAAAAAAATATATTTTGATTCTCAAAATACTAATAATATTTTTTTTGGAAAGGAGGGAATACTTTTAAGTGGGGAGTTGGGCTTCTTATGTTACATTGTAAAGAAAACATAATAACTATATAAATATATATAAATCAAAGTTTGTACAGAAAATTGACTGGGTTGTTTTTCTCTAAAAGAAATCAACAAAGTTTTCTGAAAATTTTGTGTGGCCGGAAGGCTCTTTTCTAAATCATCAGGAAAAAAATTCAACTGGCCAAACCTTTATCTTGCACAAAAATTTTCTTCTAAAGTTTTTTTTTCAACTGCTATTTTCTTTGCTTTTTCTTCTTCTTTCTTTTACACTTTTAAATAGTTATTTAGGTTTAGAACGTTATAAAAGCTCATGAATAGTTGAGTATAAGATTAATCCATATGTGTTTCTTAGCTAAAAATTTAAAATTAGATATATAGCAATTCACCGTGGTGCATTGAATGAATAAATTATGAGGAAGCTAAGAAAGTAGGGAACATACATAGGTGTACAAAAAGGTAAAAGACTTTGTTTATGCAAGATGGAACATGGTTTTAAAACATGGGTCAAGTTGAGCTATGACTCATTGTTTATCCCATCTTAGCCCAAGTATACTTTGGGATGAGTTGGACAATGACTCATTTAATGACTCAACCCATCTTGACCCGCCCAAATTCAGCTCAACCCGCCTATTTTCCACCCCTAGATCTGATTAGTATGTTTCACAACCATTTTAGTAATTAGAGGAAGGACATAAGATGGAGAATCTCACCAATAATCCACCAGGAGCAACAATCCTTGAGACAGAATCCCAGTACATAATCCTGAATGACCACATGATAAGGTGACATGGGAAAGAAAGCAGTACGGATAAAGACATCATCTTTTACTGAAGGAATAGGAACCTCCACCCACACACACACACACAAAAAAAAAAAAAAAAAAAAAAAAAAAAAAAAAAAAAAAAAAAAAAAAAAAAAAAAAAAAAAACAGGACGTTGCTAAAATGTTGCAGCTACATAGGATAAACATGTTAACATAACTTACCAAAGAAAAAAAAGATAAAAACGTTAAGATACAACAGTATTACCTTTTGATAAGACCATCAGGATGCAATCCAATGGCATCTAAGGTTCCCTTATCCAAAACAAGCCGAAACCTTGTATCCAACTTTGTTTCAAGAACGTCATCAACCTTGACATCAATCAAAAAGTTATTTAAGATGAAATCATTTTCTAGCAAAGAAAGAACACAAGTTAGATAAGCACCCATAAGTACATGAAATTAATGATACACTCGACCATAACTGGTAGTACAGGTTAGGTGCGCTACTGCAGAATTACTAGAGGTAATAAATTTAGCACTTGTTGTTACTGCTTCTTTCTTTTCCATTACTATATATGTTACTGTATTTCTTTTCAACAATGTTGTGACTATGACTTTACTGAGCCGAGGGTCTACCGGAAATAACCTCTCTACCTTCACGAGTTAGCGGTAAGGTCAGCGTATACGCTATCCTCCCCAGACCCCACTTGTGGGATTTCACTGGGTTTGTTGTTGTTGTAATAAATTTAGCACATTGTCCCATACTTTCACTATTGCCACTACTGGAACTTAAACAAGGTTCATACCATGCGTACACTATTTTATCGAAATGCTCGTATCAGCAGCAACATTAAAATATAAGTCATTTTTATTTGAAAGTAATTGCACATGCAGAAACACAAATGTGATTGACATTGTATAAATAGAGCTCACTTTGCATGAAGAAGAAAAAGGAGCAATTATAAGTAACATGAAACTAGAAATGCAAGCTAGAGAAATACTGCTTTTTGCTTGTGCTTGTTTTTCAAATACTGGATTCCACACTTCTACATACGCTTTAGAAACTGGTTACTTGTCAAAGACAAAGTTCAGTTTTACCAAGAACTTGATATTGGTGAATCCATCACGATCAGCAAGTCTTCGCGCAAGGTCAATTGCTCCTTCACTATAGTCGGTTCCAGTTAGATCTGAGAACCTAACTCCACTGCAAATGCACACTAGTAAGAAACTAAGCTTCAGATGTAAGTTTAACAAAATGACAGCTGCATTTGAACAGACTGAAAGTACATTTTACAGAGATTAAAAGTTCAAACTTATAATAAACAGGTGATTTGGGAAGCATTTAGACGCGGTTTTAAATCATGATACCTCCGCATTTTCAAAGTTAAAAAGTGTACCTGTAACTAGAAAGCAGTAAACTCTCATTAGATAATGTAACCACTAAGATATCTTAGACATAGACAACCCTAAGCTCCCTGCCCATACCGGTGGGGTGAACATGTGAATTTGAACCACTTGATGCATGTTAATGATAAGCACATATAACAGGAAAAATTGCTAAAGGGGATCCTGAGAATTGAAAATTAAGTGAAAGAATCTATAGGGGATGAGGGAATGGAAATGCCCCAAATGGAAATTAAGTGAATACTGAACCGATTAAAAAAAAAAGTGTTAGCGGAAACGTAAAAGAAAGAACACAAGATTTAACGTGGTTCGGATCAAAATAATCCTACGTCCACCAGAGAACAGTTGCCTTTTTAATATTAACAAAGGAAGGGGAGAGTTCCCAATTACACTTAAGAGAATTTCTCTCTTAACTCTCTACTCACTACAATGTGTTGTATTATTTTTGGGATGGTTTCTACAAATGAAGGAGTACATCTATTTATAGAGGTAAAGACCTCCTCTTGATGTCATTGGTGACATCAAACTACCTCCTCTT